AGGTGCGCGCTGGGCAGGCTCGGCCCTTCCCTCCCGTGTGGCACCGGACAGGCCAGCCGACCTCGGGGCTCCCGGGCTTCCCGGCTGCCGCTTCCGAGCCCCCAGGGGCCTCACCGGGACGGCTGGGAGCCCCTCTGGCCCTGGGCGCGCTCCCTTGGGCCTGGGGAGCCTGGGGAGTCGAGGCCTCGCCCGGCGGGGCGCAGGAGCCCGGGGCTTATCTGCTGGTTGCGTTGGCCGTGGCTTCGCTTGGTCGGCGCGATAGTGGCCCTAAGGGTGGGCCGAGCTATTTCTTAACTTCCCGCCTCTGTCAGGCCAAGGCCTGAGCCTGTGCCTGGCCTGGAGCGCGAGCGCTCCGGGTGGACTCCGTTCGCGCCCTCCCAGTTAAGGTGTTTCAGCGTCACCTTGGCCATTTCTCTCTCCTGGGATCCCCTGGTAGGTCTCGAGGTCCTGCCCTTCCTTCCTGCTCCCTCCCCACCATTTTTAGAAGGGCCCAGTCACCTCCTAGACGAGCTCCAGTGGCTTTTCTGCCTCCCCGCCTGGCCCCCTCCTGGTTTTCAAAGTCCCTCCTCTATGCCAGGTCCCAGGTGGGGGGCTGGTGCTGGGCACACGGTGGGATCAGAGTCAGGAGAGTGGAGACAGACTGGCAAGTGTACATGGCAAGTGCTCCAACAAGTTCAATCCAGGAAGGCTCCCCAGAGGAGGTGACCTTCAACTTGGGCCTGAGGTCATGCAAATACAAGGAGGCTGGGGCGTGGGTGTGCAGGGAGGTGGGGAGCAGTGGGAGGAGAGACAGGGGCTCCGGCCTGAGACGACCCACCTGAGGACCACACTGACAGCTGCAAAATAGCCCCACCCCCACCCCTCCCTCTTTGTCCAACCTCAGGCCCCGGGACCCCTTTTCCCTCGAGTTGCATCAGGTGTCCTCCTTCCCACTCCTGGACTTGCCCACCTGTTCTTCCCTCCTGGTGTCCTCCTTCCTTTTCCTTCCAGCTCACTTGCACCCCGGCTGCCTCTCAAGGCTTCTCCCAACCAGGACGCCCCCCCCCCCTCTGC